TAAAACTTAGGTAATATTATGACAGATTTATTACGTCAGTCTTACATAAGACAGTGAGCTAAAACTTATGTAATATTATGACAGATTTCTTATGTCAGTCTTACGTAAGAAAAGTGACTAATGTTACGTCACGATATGACTTTAATATTACATAAGATGTACGTAATATGTTCACTATGACGGTCAGTATTATGTCACTATGACGTAAGAATTGTATTACCTACATATGATCTACGTGTTACGTAAATTTTAGGTCATAAGTCACGGTTTGGTTCACTGGGGATAAGTTCGACCATGTACGATTTAATCTAGAGCTCTCACGACTGCTCGAATTAAGTGAAATTAAACAATTTTAACTAAACTTTGATATGCGGTAGCGACCCATAAAACAATTAAATATAATAAAAATTTTCACAGACTAGTTTTTTAGATAGGGTAATAGATCGGCGGGGTGCCTGGATAATATTTCAAAATTTCATTTTTAAGAACCACCCTAATATATATATATATATATATATAGTATGAAAGAAAGAAGAAACAAATGTGGAAGAAAAAGTGAAAAAAATAATAGATTCTTAAGAAAAACTATATGGATGATATTAAGTGTATTGTAACCAGGGACCCGGACCGGACCGTTTTTGGACAGAAAACTGGACCGGTATTTATTTGTGGTTCGGAACCGTAAGTCTAGAGACCGAACCCGAGCCCTTTAAACTTAAAACGGTTTTTTAGGTTATTTTCGGGTATTATTTTAAATTCTTTTTGCAAAAATAAAAAATAAATATTTTGTTTTGTTAAAGAAATCTATAAAATTAGTTTTTGCAAAAAAATATTTGAACACGGTCTAATCTATAAATTATACACTCTAGCACAAGTATTGTTAGGGGTGCCTGCTGTGCTAACAACAATTGTAAATGTTGTATAAATAATTATTTTAAATGTAAATTAAAATTACTTTATTGGAAAAAGAAAGATGTCATATGTATACATATGTATAATATAATACTAGGCAGGGGCCGAGGATGGCGCAGTGCGTTAAAGCTACAGAGCGGTAATCAATCTGCGCCACGGTACCGGGTTCGATTCCCGGTCACAGCCTTGGGTGTTGTGGTTGTTTTTAAGAACCAAAAAATTTATAATAATGAGCTGGCTAAATACCGAAAAGATTAAAAGTCAATAAAACTAAAAAAAAAAAAATACTAGGCAACACTGTAATTAATAAACCCCGACTACAAAATATCCTACCGACTCACTGTGGGCCCAATGTCCAAACTAGGTTGCATTAATTCAATTTTTTTTTCTATTTACTTAAAACTTTAAAAATAATTAAACTTGAGACTAACCAATGCTGGTAATTAATTATATAATTTATTTTTTCATTTTCCAGTGTTGCCACATTGGTATTTTTGGAAATTAATTTATAAAATTCAACTAGTGTAACAAACCATGCCAACGTTATCTACGGATCAAAATAAGTCGATTTAACTCAAATTACCTATATACTAAGTTGCTTAGTTTAGTCGTTAGAGGCCTTTAAAGTTTTAAAAAATAACTATTTTTTTAAATATCTTAAAAACGAATTAATGAATTTTGAATATTTTTCGAATGTAACTTTTAACTGCCAATTAACGTCGTTTGGTGCTACACTCAGTTATCTTTAAAAATTAGAATAATCAGAAAAGCAAGGTTAGGTACTAATTTTCGCTTGTATTTTTTACTGTTGCTCACTTTGTTTAAAAACTTTTTGTCTCTTGTAAAAGTTGGATGAGCGGTTTAGCCAGAAAAAAATTATTTTGTAATGTCTGCATACATACTATCGATATATCGCGATAGTTACTATGTTTTATCCAGAAAAATATTGAACATATAAATCTAGAGATTCCTTTCAAGTTCAATTTGACTCAACGCAGTTGCTTCGTGTAGCAGATAAAAAGTGAAATACAGAGTGTTGGTAATAGGTAAATGGTGTATAAAGAGGAGGGTTTTCGCATATTTTTTCGGTCACTTCCGGTTTCACCGGAAATGGGTCCAGGTTCAAAAAATTAAATAGAAACCCCTGTATAAATTTTCATTCTCGGATTCTTAACATAATTCTGGACATAAATGTGATTTTTTAATGCCTTTTGAGCAATTTTTAACAATGCATCTAGGCCACCTTGATGTAATATAAAAAGAATAAGTAGGCGTAAACACTTTTAACATGTAAGTATATAATTTGCTCATTGCCCAAGCAATACATGCGATAAACAACTTAAAGATGCATATTAATTGGTAATATTTTCTTTTCTGAGGTTTACATTTTTGACTGGGATAAGTTTCGCGATTTTTTGCGATTTTTTTGGTTAACAGTTTTTAGTAGTCTACATCTTTGTCTAATAAAAAATATATATTTTGGCTTGGGATTCGTTGGCCTTCCTATTTTTTTACTCTGCAAAACATAAAAAATTAAATATTCATGTTAATTACCTTATCAGTTCTTGCCAAAAGCAAAAAAAACACGAATTTTCTATAATTTTATGTATCCAACACAACTAATTGACAAGTCTAATGTCAGTTATGAAATGTTTAAGACGACTTTTGCTTTTCACGGCCCTCTAAGCTATAAAAAAAAATCGCAAAAATCGTAGTTTTAATTAAAACGATTGCATTAAAAATAGACTTTCTTTTAAAGATCTGACATTGGGCATTTATAAAAAAGTGTTCGTAGAGTATTTTCAAAAAGCAATTATGTTTTTACAAGTTTGAATATGTTTTGAATAAAACAATAGTGGCAAATTATACATTTTCAATAATGACTTATTGCATCCTAGTTTGGGCATAGGGCCCACAGTGCGACTGCGCCATGAAGTAAATAATACCAGAGTAGGTTGAAGACTGATTTATTAAAATGACTAGAATGTAGGTGTATGTATCTTGACTAGCATGGGTGGGTAGTACATTTGTAGTGGGGATTTATTAATAATTATTACAGTGTTGCCTAGTATTATGTATACACATGACACCTGCAACACAAGGCTGTTTTCTGGTCTCAAATTTATACTTCTTCCAACAAGATCAAACAAAAAAGAAAAAAATTTAGAGGAACAATTATTTGTGAGAACCAACAGAACTTTCGGAGAAAACGAAGAAAGTTCAGTTTTTTATTTTTATGTAACTTATTTTAAATATGAATTTTCCAGTTTTTACGAGGTTTTTTAATCACAAGATCAGAAGAAAAAGATAAAGTTAGTCGATCGAGAATAAAAGTAAAAAAAAAGAGAATGAAGAGCCAAAGTAATTTAATTAGATACATGCCAAAAAAAAATTACAACAAAAAATTTTTCACTTTATAATTTAAGTAGGTAATTATTTATAAATGGTAAAAAAATTGGAACCGAAAAAAACCGTATGGACCGAAAAGATTGGTCCGAACCGGACCGAAATATTTTTTTTTGGAACCGTAACTGAACCCCAACCGAAATTTGTCGTTTCTCTCGGAACCGGAACCGGACAGAAACCGTTATTTCATTTGGGTCCGGGTCCCTGATTGTAACAAAATGTATGTGGAAAGAAAATAATATATAAATGATTCAAGGGATGAGGTTAACTCAGATGCTCTTAATTAAGACCCTTGATCATATTGAAATTTAAATTGAAACATAATGAACTGGCCGAATAGCTTTTAAGTAAGCTAAAGGCCATTACCCCCGAACACAGTATGCCAAGACTAATCCGAATGATTTCATTAAGTGTTATTTTTAATTAATCAAATTCAAACAGCTCCTTTCAACCGGTTCACTTATATAATCCAGATCCTGTGACGGGTTCAAAAGAGTCACCCGGAACGCCCATCACTAATTTCAATATTTATAATAAATGGGAACAAAGTTAAAGTGATTTATAAAAAGTAAATCCGGATTCTCATTTTTCAATGAATTACGTACGCCATTTTCTAGTTTTATTAGCTGCCGACTAATGCCGACTGTAGCTGCAGTAAATGCCGACTCTCAAAAACTTATTTGAACTAAGTATAATATTTCCTTAATCTTAAAAAATTTATGCAGTCGGCAAAATCTTCAAAAAAGTCGGCATTTTATTAAAACCTCCCCATAACCCTAGTTACGTCCCTGACCATTTGATTTCTTATTTTTAACTTTCTTTTAAATTAAAATGTTTTCAAAAATGCTTCAAAAAGTCTTGTTTGAAGTTAATAAAATGGATGGTTTTCTAGAAAAACGCCTTTTCGGACCACCGAACAAGTCTGTTATGTGAAATTAGCTAGAAAGCTTGATTTTTTTTTTAATTTTGAGAAATGCATGTAAACGTGTGTCCAAAAGTGCTTAGATTTTAAGAGGCATGATGTTGAAAAATACAAAAAAATATTTAAAAAATTGAAGATGAAAAAATAATTTTTGACAACCAGGTGAGGAAGCATTTTAAGACATATTTATAAAAACTTTTTACTTAAAATATCATGAGGAATTGTTCTCTGAAGTTACAGACCTTACTATAAGCAAACACCCTGTTTCCACAAAAATGTTTTCTCTTTCTTTAGATAATCACTTGATAATATTAATAATATAATTAAATTTCCAATTATGTTTTAGGCGATCCCGATAGAGGGTCCGGACCCCTCTTGATTTCGCCACTGGTCAGGATTTACCATATTTATCTTTTTTTAATGATAAAATACCTAATTGTACTTGTTTGATTTATTAATTAATTTATTTAATTAACTCACAAGTCGTATACATGCCACAACTTCAAGAGGCCATTAAAAAAAACTCGAGCTAATATCACCAAACCCTAAGAGGGTTTTCTTAGTCTGTTGGCCTACTTTTATTTCGAGTTGGATCCATTTGGGCTGGAATTTCTTGTTGCACTGTAATTTGTTTACAACGTAAAAACAATTATGGAATTTTTTTCCGATATCTTTTAACCTCAATACTTTTTTATTTTAATAAGAAGAAAAAATTCATAACTACAAAAAAGGTTTTTTACGTTTTTAACGACTGTTTTAGGCCAGAAGTAACAGAGGATTACCCAATGATCACAAAGGTGATAAAAGAGTTATAAACATTGATGGCATTGACAGTTCTTTATGTTGTGGTACACATGTTAATAATTTAAGCCAGTTGCAAGCATTAAAATTATTACATTCTGAAAAGAAGAAAAATAAAACTTTGTTATATTTTTTATTTGGAAATAGAGTAATTCAAAGACTAAACACATCAATTGAACGAGAACAGAAATTGACTAAATTATTAAAGTAAGGAACATTTAAATACATTTCTCGCCACGAATTCACGCTGGCGATATCATGCACGCGAGCAGTTATATTGTACGCGACTTTTTTACATTCAATGCAACGGCAACTTTAGTTATGAGTCTTTAAACATTAGTTTGGACGGCATGCCGCGGCGGGTAATGAGTCGCACGCAAGAATTCGTGCCGACGACTACCCTTGCGAAAAAAATGCCTAAATTTTGGGCATTAATGCCCAACTTTTAGGCATTAATGCCTAAAAAAGTTAGACATGATTTTTAGTACCTAACTTAGGCATTATGCTTAACTTGGGAATAATGCCTAACTTAGGCATTATGCTTAACTTGAAAATAATGCCTAACTTAGGCATTATGCTTAACTTGGGAATAATGCCGAACTTAGGCATTATGCCTAATCGATTCAATAAAACTATTCATTTAATAAAAGGGGTGTATTTTTGTATGTCGGTATATTTATTTAAAAAAAAATGAGTAGCCAAGCGCTTTTGTCATTTAATCTAATGACATCATCCGGGCTAGCCCTGAAAAGTAAGTAAACATTAGTTTCAATAGGTGGGTTAAAATTTTGTACTTACTTGTCAAGGCGAGCTTACATTTATATGTAGCAGTGAACATAAGTTGAAAAACATATAGCCCTGAAGGGAATTTAACATAACAAATTTTACATTTTATCTTTTACAGAAAAACCACGTTAATTTTGACGTTTAACTAGTGCCAACTTCATAATCTTAAAATTAGCGGGTAATTTAAATTAACTTAACTAATAAAATCAAGCCGTATTACAGCCGGCAATTCTTCTTGCAGCAATTTTTCTTGCAGCAATTTTTCTTGCCATCTAGTTTTCAAGGCCGTCTTGCATGTTGTTTTACAGCCGGCAATGGCAAGAAAACTTGCTGTTTATTACCGTGCTACCAACCGAAGAAAAATATACGATTTTGTAAACACTAAGTTTATTTGTTATTTAGTAGAGATATTTAAAAATTAATGAGTAAAATGGATACTAGAACTTTGAACAAAATGTCAATCATAAAACAAATAACCTTAAACTGTATAAGTCAAACAACGTCTCTTTAGGGAATTTGTATTAGGGTTGGTAACATAAAAGTTACCAGATTTCACCACAGAATTGCCGTGAAACGGCAATAAAAATCCATCCGGACCGATTTTCGGCAATTGCAAGAGATTCGTCGAAATGTCTCAACCGCGCATGCCTATGGCAATTTTCATTGCAATTGCCGAAAGAATTGCCGGCTGTAATACGGCTGTTACAGCCGTATTACAGCCGGCAATTCTAATAACTCAAAAACGTTATTTAAAAAATGGCCAATGGTGGGGGGAGGACGGAATCAATAAATGTTTTTTTCATCATCAATCATGAAATGCTTATAGGAAATGTTTAAATAATGGTTTAAATTTCTATTTAAATTAATTTTTAAGTTCAAGCATTGTTCAGGTTTATTTTTGAATGAGTTGGATAATTCCAAATCTTCAAATAGGTCTACTTTAAGGCTTTATTTGTTGAGATCTAGGTTATGTATGATTCTTGCCTTCGATGCTGGGCGGAAGGAGTGGGAGTTGTATTTAATGTGATGTCCGAAGGAGGATGAGCTTGGTCTTTGAATATGTTCTTTTACTTATTACATATTAGACAAAAAAGTAGCATCTACCAGTCATATATATGCCCAAAATAGGTATTTAATCTCAACACATTGAATCATTGAATTCACATACCAAATTTTTGAGCATTTAATCCTAACTCTTTGGCATTTATGCTAAATTATTGGGCATTAATACCCAAGTTAGGCATTCAATCCTAACTCTTAGGCATTTATGCTGAACTGTTGGGCATAAATGTCCAAGTTATGCATTTAATCCTAACTCTTAGGCATTTATGCTGAACTGTTGGGCATAAATGCCCAAGTTAGGCATTCAATCCTAACTCGTAGGCATTTATGCTTAACAGTTTGGCATAAATGCCCAAGTTAGGCATTCAATTCTAACTGTTAGGCATTTATGCTTAACTGTTGGGCATAAATGCCCAAGTTAGGCATATATGCTTAACTTTTTGCATTAATTCCTAATTTTTGACATTCATGCCTAAGTTAGGCATTAATGCCCAAAATTTAGGCATTTTTTTTGCAAGGGTATACTATTTCCGTTACACAACTGATTTGTTGGCTCATCTCATAAATTTTGCTAGAAAATATTTATTTGGTCATATTTTTTGAATACCATCCATAATAATTATATGCTGTTAAAAAGACATAGCTAGATAGCCAAATCGGTGAAACTATTTAATATTTTTACTAATAAAATCCCCCGATGTTTGTATAACAAAATTACATTTAGTGTTGTTCATAATCTGAATTTACGTTTTAAGCATATCCTTTCATGTATACATCATACTGTATTATTTCACAGATCTTTTAAGTACCTATAACATTTACCTTAAGGTTAATTAACTCTTTTTAAACCATAAAAATCTAAATTTTTTAAACTTTAAATTAATAGCAAACTTGTTTGAAAGCCAGCTTTAGTTTAAGTTAATTTGTTATATTTTTATATTTTCATATGATCACTTAATTAATTATTCATTATTAGTGTATAGTTTATAAAGCATGGCATGTGTGAGTCGTACTGTCAATATCAACTTTACAAGTTTGTTTTATTTGTTTTTGCTTAAAAAGAAACTAAAAACGTCGGTTTCAATATTAAAATGCAATTGGGTATTTCCGCGAAACCTTCCCCACCTTGACAAAAAAAATATTTGTTATTAGCTGGCCATACACAGACGTTATTTCGCGCGGTTTATTGTGGCGTGTTGGGATGTAGCGGTTAGTATGCACGAAAGAACGGTATGGCAAAAAAAGCGTCATGTTCCATACACTTGATAAAGTATTCAAATGATTTAGCAAGTGATTCCGCGTGGTATATCAGTTTCAAAGGAAAAATCGTAGGTGAGTGGGCAAAAAGTGTCATTTATCGAGTCGTTTGAAACTGCATGTGATCATGTACAAATTTTCAACGTGAAATTTCGCCAAGCGAAGGTAAACCGTGACGCGGAATGATACGCCACAATCCAGAGGAAAGCACGTCTGAAATACCTTCCCGTTCTATCATTGCGCGAGGCGATACTCACTCACGTACATGATTTTCTATATGTTTTTGCAGATAACACGATAAACCGCGCGCAATAACGTCTGTGTATGGCCAGCTATTTAACGAAATAAAAACTATATCAGGGTTGTTCCTGGCTAATTTTTTAAAGTGTAGAACTCGATAATGAAATTGTGTTGCATTGTGCAGTTTTAAAATAGGGCGTCGGCGTTTGCGACATCTTTGGCCAGATTGGCGAATTCGAAAAATTCAATTCGTTTTGGTGGTTATTAGAATATACAGCCTATTCAGAATAAAACCGAATATATCTATATATATATATGGGGCGCACACATTAGCTGATCAAATAGCCTGCATCGCTAATGAGATTTTTTGCATTATTATCATTAAATTTTTATCCTTACCTGCTCGACCTTTCGTCATGTCGTTTATCACACAAGCTACTGTGACGCGCCTTGGAGGGAGGCGAGGCCTCGCCCCATATTTATATAGATATATTCGGTTTTAATCTGAACTGGCTGTAGATGGTGACTCGTGCAGTTTTACCAGAGTTCTACAGTAGTTTTACACTATAGGGACCATAGAATTTTATCTTTATCTAATCTATAAGGACTCTACTCAAGATGGTTTCTTGTAGAAAGAAATTTTTTTTTATTGATTGCTTATAATTGTGTAGTTTTTTGTTTACTTTATCAAAAAAGTGTAGCAAAACAATAAAATTTGCCATTGGGGTGCCCCGGTGTAGCTACTTGTTAAAAAGTGTAGCATTTTGCACAATTGTGTAGCTTGGAACAACCCTGAACTATATATGAAGTCAAATAGTTCTTCTTCTTCTTAATTCTGATCACAATTCTGTGTTCAGAGAAATTACCTTTAGGTTAATTTAAAAGCTATTTGGCCAGAAAAGTCAAATAGTTTAATTGAGACGTTATATATAACCTTAAAATATTCGTACATTGTGATGCTAAAAAGCTAACATTAAGAATAAACAAGGAAGAGTTTCAATACTCTATAAAAATGTCGCACCCGTTACATTTTGAGAAATTTTTAGAAAATAAAGTATACAATATTTGTGCATTTAAAATAAGTGCTTGTTTAAGGTTAGTATTTAAGTTTTACACAAAAAACTATTACTATAATATGCTTTCATCCAAAATTTTACAGTATCAACTTTAGAAGCCAACTTGGTCGCATTTGCCGATTTTCCAAGGTCGCGCGCATTACTATACTATACATTCATAATGATATAAAAGGTTTTCTATACAAGTTTTTATTGACATTTTGTATGAGTTAAATATCTAATTTGTTATACTATTTTTGTATATTAACCTATTTTGATATACAAACAGTTTATTATCATAAAAAACGCAGTGTCAGTGTCTCACCCGTTACAATGTAAATACCCAATAGTGACAAGAAAGAGAGTGGAATAATAGCCTTTGAAAGCTGAAAACCTTTATTATTAATAAAAACTCAAAATTCGCTTCATATATTTATTTATTTTAATCAGTATCTGTTAAACTACATAGTTAAATAAACAAAATTTTAAGTGTCAATTAATTATCATTATCATTACATTTTAAAAATATTGTTTATTTTTACTTGTTATAGTTGTAGTTTGGTATTTGCCCACTGAGTTGTGCGATATGCGTAAAATATAAAAAATAAAAATAATAATATACAAAATAATTGCATTTATTTTTCACAAAAACAACACAATATACTATGTAGATTTTGGTTAAAGCTATTCCATAACCGAAAATTTTCCGTCGTTTTTTCCCCAAATTTATCGGAAATATTCTCATGTCTTTGCTATTCTTCCTTTTACTAACATTTTATATATATCCTATAGTTAATTCGTTTAGAA